TGGGAGGGGGTGGCGTGGGGCTGGGGGTGCTGGATGGAGCCTGGCACCCCCTTCCTGGGGCACCAGCTCTTGGGCCACTTCTCCCTCTCACATCCTTCATCCTTCTTGAGCCTGGAGAAGAGAAGGCTCCAGGGAGCACACCCGACCCCTACGTCTGGGGGTCTCGCAATGATCTCACTGGAGGGGTTTTTCTTCCCCGCGCAGTGGGTCGCTTTTGAAACGGTGCTGCGAGGAGATCAAAAAAAAAGGGGTCGGGGCCGATGGGACAAGAGGGAAGAGTTTTAAACCAAAAATTAGGAGATTGAGCTGAGATGTGGGGAAGGAACTCCTTGTTGTGAGGGTGGTGAGAGCCTGGCCCAGGTTGCCCCGAGAAGCTGTGGCTGCCCCATCCCTGGAGGGGGTTCAAGGGCAGGTTGGAGGGGGCTTGGAGCAACCTGGGCTGGTGGGAGGTGGCCCTGGATGGAACTGGATGGTCTTCAAGGTCCCCTCCCACCCAAACCAGTCTGTGATTCTGTGATCCCTCCAGGGAGCAGTGTGTGCCATGAGGACATGGGCACATGGAACCTGTCCTGTCCTGAGACCTCAGTGGGGCTGGGGTCTCTGCTCAGAGCGGGGACAGCAGAGACACCCCCCCAGCACCTGTGATGGCAACAGGGATAGACCCCCATGGCCCTTTTCCCTGTGTTTTGTTGTGGAAATTCAGTGGCACCGAAGCATTTAGGAAATGTGTTGGTTTCACCAGGTTTTCTGTAACGAACAACTGAAACTGGAGAAGTTTAAGTGATGGTTTGACTTGAGTCAAAGGGAGAAGTTTTGAATTTCTGCTGTGGAACAACGCTCCAGACTTCAATTTTTCTCTAATTTGATTTAATTCCTTTAGAAAGGACAAAGAAACTTTCTAAAACAGCCCTTAAAAGGAATGTTTTATGGTTTTTACGATTTAATGTTTTATGGTCAGTCTGCAACCAAACGATAGGGTTTTTTTTCTTTTCATCTTTGATGCAATAATATAAAAAAAAAAAGTGTTTCAACAGCATCAGGTATTAAAACCACTGACCCCAAACCTCCTTGCATTGGCCCTGAACCCCCTGTCCCCTCTGTGTGGGATGGGGCTGTGTCCCCTCCCCGGGGGACGGTGGTGGCAGCTGGGGACACCCGTGCCTGGGGGAACCCCACCTGGCGAGGGCTGGAGTCTGGCACTGGAGGTGTGAAAGCATCTGGCAGCTGCCCCCCGGGCTGTTGTGGGGTGGGTTCTGGGGGGGACCCCCAGCACGGCCACCATTGCCCCCCCAGGAGCCCTGTGGGGCCGTTCCCCTGCTCTCGGTACCGCAGGACCCCGCGCTTTGAGAGGTCCCACATTCCCGGGGTGCTCAAAGCAGCTCCCAGGGAGCTTTGGGGGCCTGGGGGAGGAGGTAGGGTGAGACCCTCTCTGTGGGGGGCATGTGGGGACACAGGATGCTGGGTGCTGCTGGGGGTCCTTGGAGCTGCAATGGCCAGGGGAGCAACCTTCTCCCCACAGGGCTGGGTGCTGGTGGGCACTTTCCTGTTTTGGGGGGTGGGGGGCTTTTTCTTGGCCCCCATCTCCAGTGCAAGGCAATGAGTGATAAGGGGAAGGCAGGGGTCACCCCTGGGTGGGGGACCCTGTTGTCACCCTGGTCTTGCACCCCCAAGTATTGGATGCTCTGGGCAGTGACAAAGGCTCTGGTAGGGTACCCACCCTGGGGGGGGTGGTCAACAGGAGTGGGGCAACCCACCCCATGGTCTTTAGGGTGAAAGAGGGTCCTGGGGTGGGGGGGCTTCTCTTTCCTCCCTGGAAAGACACCTGAAGGAAATTCAGTGGCAAAGGTTCTGTGTAAACTCACGTGGGAAACCCCGAAAGTACAAAAGATCTGTGAGTTTTAATCGTTGTGTGCAAAAGTGTCCCTAGAAAGTCTTTGCTGGTCTCTGTGGAGCCTGGGACACCCCCCCCCTCATTGCCTTCCTCTCTCAGGAGAGCAGTAGATGGGGAAACTGAGGCACGGCACAGAGGAGGGGAAGTGGCAGACCCATGTCTGGGCACCCTGAGGTGTCCCTGGAGGGAGCCAGGTCGCTCCCACAACAAACACCAAAGTCACTGTAGCATCTCTTCACCCTGCAGAGACCCGGGGGCACCCCACTGCTCCCCACACCTTTGGGACCAGGAGCTGGCTCCCACCTGGGGACAAGCCTGGCTGTCTCCGGGGTGGGCTACTGGGAAATTCAGGTTACCAGAAGCTCCCTGGCACTGGAGATGCTGGCAGAGGGTTGAGCCTGGTGGTGCAGGACATCACCGAGGGGTCGGGGTCATCAGACCAAGGTGCTGGTGCTCGGCTCCTTTCTGCTCGCCCTGCGGTCGCATCCTTCCTCGGCTGCCTGCACCAAGGCACAGAGATGGAGAGGGGCAGAAACGGGGCAAATCAGGGCTGGGTGGGGGCTTTGATGGAGCTGTGTCCCACCACAAACGCTGCTCCAGGAGGAGGGATGTATCGGCAGCCGGGGAAGCATCCAGCCCCAACCGCTGCCTACACCCCATAAAACCCTTTTTTTAGCAGCGAACCCTCAACTTTACCTCTCGGAGGACGGTGTTTTCCGGATCCGACGTGTCCGGGGGAGATCTCAGTCCTTTCATGTTCAGGACGGCTCCTGAGGATGCCCCGAGAGACGGGCGAGGGCGACTGAGAGCGGGGCGAGTGGCCCATCTCCTCTCCCCGGGCTTCCCCTGACATCTAGCGGCAGCGCCGGGTGGGCTCCGCCGAGCACCGGCCCCGGGAGGGGACCACCGGCTCCATCACCGGACCCGGGGACAGCGCCGGGACCGGGAACGGGAGGGGGGGTGTGTGCTGGGGTCTGCCCGCCCCAACTGGTCACACCATCCCAGACTGGCCGGGGCTGGAAGGGACCACCCAGTCCCACCTCCTGCCCAAGCAGGGTCACCCAGAGCAGGTCCCACAGGATCAAATCCAGGTGGGTTTGGAGTCTCTACACAGAAGGAGACCCCACACCCTCTCTGGGCAGCCTCTTCCAGGGCTCTGCCACCTTTAAAGTACAGAAGTTCCTCCTCGTGTTGAGGTGGAACTTCATATAGAATCACATGGGGTTGGAAGGGACCTCTGGAGATCATCTAGTCCAACCCCCTGCCAGAGCAGATCCACCCAGAGCAGGTCCCACAGGAACGTGGCCAGGTGGGTTTGGGATGTCTCCAGAGATGGAGACCCCACACCCTCTCTGGGCAGCCTCTTCCAGGGCTCTGCCATTTCCCATGTCCCAGTTTGTCCTCGTTGTCCCTTGTCCTGTCCCCGGGCACCACTGAGAAGAGCCTGGCCCCATCCTCTTGCCCCCTCACCCTTTAGCTCTTGCTCAGCATCGATGGGATCCCCTCTCAGTCTGCTCTTCTCCAGCTGAACAGCCCCAGGTCCCTCAGCCTTTCCTCAGCACAGAGATGCTCCAGCCCCTCATCATCCTCGCAGCCTCCGCTGAACCTTCTCCAGCAGTTCCCTGTCCTTCTGGAACTGGGGGGCCCAGAACTGGTCCCAGTGTTGCAGATGTGCCCCCCCCAGGGCAGAGCAGAGGGGAGGATGACCTCCCTCCACCTGCCGTCCACGCTCTTCTTAACTCACCCCAGGCCCCCATTGTCCTTTTTGGCCACAAGGGCTTATTTTTGACTCAAACGATGGGGAGGGTCCTCTTTGGGGCTGCTCCTGGCTTCCCCCTCCACCCCCAAATCCACCCATTTTCCTGCCCCTCGTGCCCTTCGTCCCGTCCCACCGGAGGCAGAACTCACCGGTCAGGCAGCCCCCGAGGCTGGCCAGCAGCAGGGTGACGGGCAGGGCCCAGAGCTGCCACAGGGCCTGGGTGGCGGCCGTCCGGCTACCTTGGGCCACCAGCGGGAACACCAGCTCCAGCCTGCAAGCCGGAGCGGGGACGGGTTTTTGGGGGACTTGTTCCCCCCAGCAGGAATACAGGGGGTGAGGGGGGGCTCCACTCATGGCTTTGGGTGAGGTGCTATAAGGGGGTGCTTTAGAGGGTGCACGGAGCACCCCTGATTTCAGGCGTCGTGGTGGCCCCAGGTTGGTGCATGGAGTCGTGGTGACCCCTGATTCTGGCTCTTCTCACCTCCCACCGTAAGCGTCTGCAGTGGCCAGTGCCCCCAGCAGCGTCCCCAGCAGGGTCCCCAGGAGGCCTGGCAGCCCATGGACGTTGTGAACCCCACACGTGTCCTGGGTCTTCAGCCTGGAGCGCAGGACGGGCTGGGGAGAGCGTAGGGAAGAGCCGGGGTTGAGAGGGGGGATGCTCGGCCCGGGGAGGGGGGGCTGCACTGCAGCTTGGTGTTTACAGGTTGGCAATGCAGCCCCCCCCTCAAAAGGCGGGTGGTCTCCTGACCTGGGACTGATGTTCCTCTGCTGTCCCCAGGTGACTCACCGTGAGGAATCTGAAGCCAAGCGGGGGGATCAGACCAGCCAGAAACCCCGCGATGAGGGCCCCGAAGGGGGTGACCAGCATCTCCCCAGCCATACCCATCACAGCCACCCCAGCCAAGGTGGCATCCTGGATCTGAACCTGATGGAGCAGGACATGGTCAGGGAAATTGGCTCCGTGGAGACATCAGCATGGGGCTGGGGGAATTTGGGCTTCTTCGGAGGTCGAACTGGGTCTTAATGAACCTAAGAAAGCCTAATGGGCATCCCCTTTTGTGTATCCGTGGTCACTATCCCTGTAGGACAGGACGTGGAGAGTGTGTGACACTTGGGTTCGTCCCAGGAGAGGACTTACCATCCGCAGGGTGCTCTCCTCGTAGAGGACAGGCAAGAGGACAAAGGTGGCCAGGGTGCTTGCTGCCAGCGAGAAGTAGGTGTTGAGCACTACCCAGGGCTCCGCGTCATTGCGGACCGTGGTGGCTGAGGTGAAGCTGGGCCAGAAGATCCACAGGTAGATGGTTCCTGCAGGGAACAGGCAGGTTTTAATGTTGGGGTTGATCCCTCATGGGAAGGAAACTTCTTGGTAGTGCCAGGAGACACAAGTGGCCACAGCTTGGGGTGTGGGAGGGTCAGGTTGGACACGAGGAGAAGCTTTTTCCTGGAGAGGGTGGTGCAGCCCTAGGACAGGTCCCCAGGAAGGTGGAGGACCTCTGTCCTTCACAGAATCATAGAATGGTCTGGTTGGGAAGGGACCTTAAAGATCATCAAGTTCCAACCTCCTTGCCCTGGGCAGGGCCACCTCCCACCAGACCAGGTTGCTCCAATCCCCCTCCAACCTGCCCTTGAACCCCTCCAGGGATGGGGCAGCCACAGCTTCTCGGGGCAACCTGGGCCAGGCTCTCACCACCCTCACACCAAAGAACTTCTGCCCCACATCTCAGCTCAATCTCCCCTCTTCCAGCTTCAAACCCTTCCCCCTCATCCCATCGCTCCCCTCCCTCATCAAGAGTCCCCCCCAGCTTTCCTGGAGCCCCTTGAGGGACTGGAAGGGGCTCCAAGGTCTCCCTGGGGCCTTCTCTTCTCCAGGCTTCATGGTTTGCAGGACACTGCTGATCAAAGCCACAACCACTCTGTCCCAATGATGATGATGATCCACCACCACGTCTGTGACTCGGGTGTTGTAGGACTCGAGCTCCATACCAACCACAGAGAAGACATCTGCCTGCTGCCCCGTGTCCTGCGGCTCTTTCCTCTTGCCCACATGAGGCCGGTGCAAGATCCGTGAAACCATCAAGCCGAAATAAGCCCCAAAGGTGTGGACAGTCAAGGATCCCCCACTGTCACTTATCTGCCGAGTACAGAAAAACACCATGTGGGAAGGTGGGACATGGGATTCGTCTCTACAGACAAGGCAAGTCTTGACAGGAGAAGGTCAAATCTGTGGTCACCCCCTTTCTGGTGCCCCCCTGACTCACCTCCATGAGACCGAGCAGGATGTATTCATTGATGCTGAAGAGGGTGACCCCCAGCAGGGTCAGCAGCAGCATCTGCACGGGGTTTACCCTGCCCAGAACGGCTCCGGTGGAGATGAGGACGGATGCCGTGCAGAAGTCAGCACTGACCATGCTGGGGAGGAGAGGGGAAGGCGTGGGGCTGGACCCACGGCTGCCGGGGCGGGTGAACGCAGGAGAGCAGGGTTGTGGTGGGGAACAGGAGCTGAGCCTTCAGCCCCATGTCCCACCGCTCCTGCGAGCTGAACGGGCACCTCCAGCCCTGCCACGGTGGTGACAAAGGGACAGCTGAGCTCCAGGCAGGTCGGGGGGTCAGCATGTCCCCCCCTAAACGCCTGGCTGTGACGTTGGCAGTGCTTACACAGCCCTTACTAGTGAGGGACTCAAATAGCCCAGAAGCCTGGTCCTACTTGTCCTCCTCCAAAGCAGAGCTGTGAGTTCTACAGAGGAGGGAGCCAGTGCACCAGGGCTGGCCCTGGGGACGATGGTGGCCACGCAGCAGCAGCTCCCTCCTGCCTTACCTCTCGGCTCCCACGTAGATTTTGCCATTCAGGAAGAAGTACAAAAACCCCTGGATCAGGACAGCCCACTGGATGGCGAAGGCCACGATGAGGATGCTGATGGCCACGCTGCCCAGCCCGTAGCGGCCGAGGAAGGCCACCAAGAGCCCGAAGCCAAGGAGAACTTGGAGGTGGACATCCCGGGATCCTGGCAGAGTAGAGGCAGAAGGATGGGTCTGGAGGGGTCAAGGGCAGGCTGGTCCCCCTGAGGGGGCTCAGACACCCCCAGCCCTAATGAATTTTGGGGAGCTGAAGGCTTCAACACCTATAAATCAGCCTTGTTCCGCCTACATGTGTCTGGAACCGTGGTGGATCTGCCCTTGGATCTCCCCTGGGGATGTCCAGTGGAAAAGATAAGCAGTTGTCACTTGTGCTAATGACAGGTAAAGCTGTCCCTGCCCAATGCGGCCCCTGCCACTCTGCCACCACCCTCTGCAGACCCCTCAGTACCCACACGTGGTTCACCCTCCAGCCCAGAAACCTCCTGGGGTGGCCAAGAGCCATCTGCACCCATTACACCAGCGTGAAGGTGGGTCTGAAGCATCATCCACCTGCCAGGACCTCTCTGCTGCCCCTGAAAACATCACCTCCTGATGTCAACCACCCCCTGGGACCTCTCTGCTGCCCCTGGAAACATCACCTCGCGATGTCAACCACCCCCTGGGACCTCTCTGCTGCCCCTGGAAACATCACCTCGCGATGTCAACCACCCCCTGGGACCTCTCTGCTGCCCCTGAAAACATCACCTCCCACCTCCCACTCCCTGGGACAAGAGCACCAGAGGGATGAACAGAAAGATGGGAGCAGCCCAGTACCATTTGGTGGGAAATCGGAGGAGAGGGGACCGGATTGTCCCTTGGGCAAAACGCCCTTTGTACCCTTGGGCCGTGCCACAGCCGTGAGTCACCACGCTGGGTGGGGTGACGTGGGCCGGAGAAACCGGGAAAACCTGCCTGTGCCCTTCCATGCAGCTCGGCTCGGCTCAACTCATCTCCCCTCCCTCGGCCAGGGCCCTCCGCAGGCTCCTTTCCAATCCCAGCCCTGCCCTTTCCTCGGAAAAGCCAGGATGGGTCCCTCATCCCAGGAGGATTCCTCAGCGATGCCCGGCAGGAGGATGCTCCCGGTGGGACGGACCCCCAGCCCCACGTTGGACGCTGCGGCAGTGCTGAGGGAGCCGAATCCTCCGTGAAAAGGGGCTCGGTGCAAATCCCTTGGAGCTGCCAAACCCAGCAGGTCGGTGGGATGTTTTCCAGACCCCCTCACCCCAGAAAAGTGCCAGGAGCAGCTGCCGTGTCCCCTCGCTGGGGATGGCAGGACAACCCCAGGTTTATCACTGACCCCCTCTGCTCTCCTGCTGCTAAAATGCACCACCTAGACCCAAATAACCCTATTTTGGGCTTGGATTTTTCCAGGGACGTGGAAAATCCTTGTTTTCCACCCACCGGCCTCTCCTCGGTGGGATGCACCCCAACCCTGTGGCTTGATGTCCCCCTCACTCTGACTCTGGAGAGCTGGATGGGGTGACAGGGCTGCAACCTGGACACGGTGACATCCCGTGCCCCCCCCTCAGCACCACCTGGGGACCAGGGAGAGCCGCTCTCTGCACCCACCCGGGGTGGGGGTACTCACGGGGGTGCTGAGAACCCAAATCCTGTTTTTTCCAGCTGCAGTTCAGTTGCTGGGAGCAGGCACCGGGGCTGCTCTCTGGGCTGTACCGGACGAAGACGGCGAAGAGGATGATGGTGAAGATTTGGAGGAGGAAGCACAGCCCGGCGAGACGGAGCCTGGAGGCGGTGGTGTCCTCAGGCATGATGGGGGTGGTGGGGGGGTCCAAGGAAGGCAAAATCCCGCCGAAACCGGGGAGACACGAGGAGAGAGGCGTTGGGGCTGCAAACTCCACCTCCGGGGTGGCTGCCAGGTCCTGCCCTCGCCTCGGTGCTTCCCACAGGTGGAAGAGCCAGCCAGGACCAGGACGGAGGTGGCAACACAGAAACCCCGGGATGGTCATCCCGGCATGTGGTTTTGTCACATCAGGGCCGGGGGAGCAGGGGGGGTGGGTTTTGGTGACAGCATCCGGCTCAGGTGGGTGGCAAGGGGGTCAGAGTGGGATTTATGGTGTCGGGGGGAGCTGTGGTTGGGGGCACCCCAAGGTTTCAGCCTTTCTGGAGGTTTGGTGTAGGAGAAACGTGATGTTTGGGGCAACCAGGTGAGACAGAGGAGATGGAGGGTGGTGGGACTGACCCGCTGCTGGGCAATGGGAAAGACTGCTTTAAACTCCCTGCTCAGCAGGAAAAATAATAGTTCAGGGGGGCTTTGGTGAAAATTCACACCATCCCAGACTGGCCGGGACTGGAAGGGACCTCTGGAGAGCACCCTGTCCCACCCCCTGCCCAAGCAGGGTCACCCACAGCAGGTCCCACAGGATCAAATCCAGGTGGGTTTGGAATCTCTACACAGAAGGAGACCCCCCACCCTCTCTGGGCAGCCTCTTCCAGGGCTCTGCCACCCTCACGGTCATTTCCCATGTCCCAGTTTGTCCCTGTTGTCCCTTGTCCTGTCCCCGGGCACCACTGAGAAGAACCTGGCCCCATCCTCTTGCTCTTGCTCAGCATCAATGGGATCCCCTCTCAGTCTGCTCTTCTCCAGCTGAACAGCCCCAAGTCCCTCAGCGTTTCCTCAGCAGAGATACTCCAGCCCCTCATCATCCTCACAGCCCCCGCTGGACCTTCTCCAGCAGTTCCCTGTCCTTCTGGAACTGGGGGACCCAGAACTGGTCCCAGTGCTGCAGATGTGTCCCCCCCAGGGCAGAGCAGAGGAGGGGGATGACCTCCCTCCACCTGCTGGCTGCATTTTTTGTAGCTCACCATTGGCCTTTTTGGCCACAAGGGCTCGTTGCTGGCTGGTGGGCAACTTGTTGCCCACCTGAGGTTATCTGTGGGTCTACATGGGGAGGAGGAGAAGCTGAGCTGGGAGAAAGAAGGGTGAGGAGCAGAGCTGGAGGCTGCTGAGCATCCCCTGCCAGGAGAGGTGGGGAGGAGCTGGAGAGAGAGGGTTCCCTTTGATTTTCTTTGGCTCCTTCTGCTTTTGCATCTCCGTAACGCACCGAGAGCGGGCACCGATCCCCAAAAAAGGGAGAGGAAAAGGAGCTGAGAAGTAAGACACGGCGTGTGTTTGGGAAGTGACTCGGGTGATGCCTTTCTGCAGTGTCGGGCCAAAGGATGATCTCAGACACCCAGCGTGGGGCCGGGGTCGTGCCCTGACGCCCAGGGGATGGGGAAGGGGAATGAGTCACTTTGGGAGGCCCCCGGGGAGCTCCCCGCTCCGGGCTGCGGGTGTGTGGGAGCCGAGGGGTGTAGCTGCTGCCTTCACTTGGGAAAAATGTGAGAAATGAGTCAGCTCCTTCGCGGTACCACGGAGCTGGGAAAAAAGCATCCTCCGGCCAAAGAGCCCCGAGTCTCTGCCCGGGGGCTGGGCACCGCTGGAGGGTCGGATATTGTGGCTGTGGGTTTGGGAAGGGTGATGGAGGGAGCTCACGTGCTCTCTCTGAACCCACAAAATAACCGTGGGGAGAGGTGGGAGGGGGACATGCGGTGCTGCTGTGGTTTAGCCTTTACAGAGTCACAGGAATGTGTCCAGATGGGGTTTGAATGTCTCCAGAGGAGACCCCACTGCCTCTCTGGGCAGCCTCTTCCAGGGCTCTGCCACACTCACAGCAAAGAAGTTCCTCCTCATGTTTAGATGGAACTTCCTATGTTCAAGTTTGTGTCCATTTCCTCTTGTCCTGTCACTGGGCACCACTGAAAAAAGACCAGCCCCATCCTCCTGACACCCACCCTTGAAGGATTTCTAGGTGTTGATCAGATCCCCCCTCAGCCTTCTCTTCTCCAGACTCAAAAGCCCCAAGTCCCTCAGCCTTTCCTCCCAAGAGAGATGCTCCAGGCCCCTCAGCATCTTTGTAGCCCTTTGCTGTCCCCTCTCCAGCAGTTCCCTGTCCTTCTGGAACTGGGGAGCCCACAACTGGTCCCAGTGCTCCAGCTGGGGCCTCCCCAGGGCAGAGCAGAGGGGCAGGATGACCTCCCTTGAGGTTCTCCACGCTCTTCTTGATGCCCCCCAGGATGCCATTGGCCTCCTTGGCCACAAGGGCCCATTGCTGGCTCATGGGCATCCTGTTGTCCCCCAGGACTCCCAGGTCTTTCTCCTCAGAGCTGCTCTCCAGCAGGTCACCCCCAACCTGTCCTGGTGCAGGGGGTTCTTCCTCCCCAGGTGCAGCACCCAAAACTTGCCTTTGTTGAAGTTCATCCTGTTCTTCTCTGCTGAACTCTCCAGCCTGTCCAGGTCTCCCTGGATGGCAGCACAGCCCTCCATGGTGTCAACCACCCCTCCCAGTTTTGCATCGTCAGCAAACGTGCTGAGGGGACACTTCATCCCCTCGTCCAGGTCATCGATGAATATATTGAAGAGGACTGGACCCAGTTCTGACCCCTGGGGGACTTTCCATGCGTGGGAGGGGGACAAGGTTCCAACCACCCTTTGCTTTTTAAAATGAGCCAAAGCACTGACCTTTCTGAGCTGGGAGAGCCTCGCGGGCTTCCAATCCAGCCAGCTGGCACCCTAATTAGGGCAGGTTATTTCATTAACCCCTCCGTACAGGCAGCCAGAGGGTGGGCTGGGGGCAAGGGGAGCCAGCGCACACCCGGGGGGTGCGTGTCCATGTCCCCCCACCCCGGGGAGGTTTGTTTTCGGTGCCGTGCGTGCCACGGGGGAGCCGGGATCACTGTGTCCTTTGGTGTTGGGGACAGACGCCGCTTGTCCTGTGTTTCCTTTGAAGAAGAGCTTCTTCCTCCACCCCTGGAGATGGACCCCGGGGGAGGGAGAAGATAAGGCAGCCCAGAACACAGCCCCATTGTGTGGCCTTGTTTTGCTGCCTCCCGGCCCCAAGGTGACGATGGGGGAAGCCTCTCCCATGGCTTTCCACAGGGGTGGGATGAGGACACTGGGGATGCAAGAGCGGTGGGACCCCCCGCCATGGGAGCCCCAAAGGATGGGAGCAGCATCCCACCATCGGAGATGTGACGGGGGGGCAGGGGGGGTAAAATTAACCATCTCCCTGCTGTCTGGGGGAGCAGAGGGCATTGGGGGCCGATGCAAGGGGAGGTTTTGCTGGCCCGAGGGGCTGCTGGAGCCCTGTGCCGGGCTGGCCTTTCCCCCGAACCCCCCGAAGAAAGGGGTGTTTGTTAACCGGGCGCGCTGTGTTTTTGCCCAGCAGAACAATAAAGAGAAAGACGCTCACAATGGGAAATTGTGCTTCCTCCTCCCCGTGCGTTCCTCGGGGAGGTGTTTAGCGGGGGGGGGGAACACACACACACACACAAAAAAAAAAAAAAAAAAAAAGAAAAAAAAAGAGAAGAAAGCGGGAAGAGACAGCGACAGGGCAGGGAGAGAGGGCACGGCCGGCGCTCACCACTGCCGCACGCCATGGGGGCAGAGGCTGAGGGGCCACGGGGCCAGGGGGACGTCGGGACGCTGCCCGCCCCGGGACGGTGACGGGGCACAGTGTCATCCCCGTGTCCCCTCTTCCCGGCAGCACCCACCGTTTGACCTTTCCGGAGCCCTCGGCCCCGCCATGGGGTGGCTGTGACGGAGACGGGACGCGGCGGGCGCCGGGGTGGAGGCCGGAGGCGTTGGATGGGAACGGTGGCTCCCCGAGGGACACGGCTGGGGACGGTAAGAGGAGTGGGGACACCGGGGAGGGGGGCTGGCACCTCGTTGGCTCCGCGTTCTGCCAGGGGACACCCCCTTTGCACAGCAAACCTTGGTGAGACCCCAATGGAGCAGGGCCATCCCTTGGCCCCACGGCAGTCCCGGCAGCCAGCACTGTAGATGTCCCCCACCATGTCCCCACCGAACCCAGGGTATGTCCCACTTCATGTCCTTGACCCCTGTGCCCCCCCCAGGCACCATCCTGTCCCCAGCTCTAAGGATGCACCGGCTTCTCCTGTTTGGCTCCCTCTGGCTCTTGGTGGCATCTCCAGCATTGAGCATCTTCCAGCGGCCGACGGGGACCCCGGGTAGGGAGCAGGGTCCAGGGTGGGGGGGACAGGGTTCTGCTTTTGGGGTCAGGGCTGGAGGAGGGAGGTGATGCTGGGGGGGTCCAGCCAGGGCTGGGCATCCCAGGGGTTTCAGGAGGAGGGAAATGAGCCAGGATGGGTGATGGAAACCAGGCTGGGGACACCGATGAGAGTCGGGGGGCTTTGGGGGAGGTGTTGAAGGGGTGTTGGGACCCCACCAATGCTCCGTGGTGAGGCAGATGGGGGGTTGCCACAGCCCCCCCCGGCCTGCAGTACCTGCTGGAGCCCCTCCACGCCACGGTGCACACGCAGCGGGGTGCCACGGCCACCCTGCCCTGCGTCCTGCGCGCCCTGCCCCGCAACTACCGGGTGAAGTGGAGCAAGGTGGAGCCGGCCAACTACCGGGAGAACGTCATCATCATCACCAACGGGCTCTACCACAAGAACTACGGGCCGCTGAGCCAGCGGGTGCGCCTGCGGCACGGCCACCGCTACGACGCCTCCCTCACCATCACCAACGTGGCTCTGGAGGACGAGGGACGCTACCGCTGCCAGCTCGTCAACGGGCTGGAGGACGAGAGCGTCTCGCTCACACTACACCTGGAAGGTGAGGCTGGGGACCCTCCTGCCCTCGGGGATGTGGGGAACAGCAAAGAGGGGACGCTGGACTGGGCTGGGGGTCCATGGATGGTCCTGGGGTCCATGGGTGAGAGTCTCCACCCTGTTTCAGTGCGCCCCTTTACCTTCAGCACTGAATCTCCTGGGGTGAAAAGCCAAAGAGTTGTTGGGGAGAGCATCTCCTTCACCCTCTGTCCCTGTCCCTGTCCTCCCCAGGTGTTGTGAACCCCTACCAGCCCAGCAACGGGCGCTACAAATTCAACTACCACGAAGCCAAGCGAGCCTGCGAGCAGCAGGACTCCCGCCTCGCCACCTACCAGCAGCTCTACAAAGGTGAAATTTCCTAAAAAACACCCCTTATCTGCCCCAAAATGTGCCTCGCTGGGCACGGGAGGATAAAAGTCCCAGCTCTGAGTCTCCCTGTGCCCCCCAGCCTGGACGGAGGGTCTGGACTGGTGCAACGCCGGGTGGATCCTTGATGGGACCGTCCACTACCCCATCATCAACTCGCGGGAGCCGTGTGGTGGCCGCCTCCTCCTGCCGGGCGTTCGTTCCTACGGGGCCAGGGACAAGCAGAAGGACAAATTTGATGCTTTCTGCTTCACCTCTGCTCTTCAAGGTACTGCTGGGGTCCCCTGTCCCTCCCACAGTGACACTGAACCCTGATGCCCAGCAGGGCTGGGCTTGTTCCCAGGTTGCCATCCATGGTGGCCACCCACTTAGTATCATGGAATCATGGAATGGTTTGGGTGGGAAGGGACCTTAAAGATCATGGAGTTCCAACCCCCCTGCCCTGGGCAGGGCCACCTCCCACCAGCCCAGGTTGCTCCAAGCCCCCTCCAACCTGCCCTTGAACCCCTCCAGGGATGGGGCAGCCACAGCTTCTCGGGGCAACCTGGGCCAGGCTCTCACCACCCTCACACCAAAGAACTTCTGCCCCACATCTCAGCTCAATCTCCTCAGTTTTGGTTTAAAACTCTTCCCCCTCATCCTATGGCTCCACTCCCCAAACACCATCCCTGGAGGGATCTCAAAGCCGGTGCTGAGGGACACGGGGCAGTGGTGGGTTGGTCAGTGTTGGGTTGATGGTTGGTCTTGATGACCTTAAAGGTCCCCTCCAACCCAAGGAAGTGGTGGAATCAGCAGAGCATCCCAGAACGTTTGGGGTTGGAAGGGACCTTCAAGCTCCTCCAGTTCCATCCCTTCTAGTGGAAGGGACATCTTAAAAGAGACCAGGTTGCTCCAAGCCCCCTCCAACCTGCCCTTGAACCCCTCCAGGGATGGGGCAGCCACAGCTTCTCAGGGCAACCTGGGCCAGGCTCTCACCACCCTCACACCAAAGAACTTCTGCCCCACATCTCAGCTCCATCTCCCCTCTTTCAGCTTCAAACCCTTCCCCCTCATCCCATCGCTCCCCTCTCTCATCAAGAGTCCCTCCTCCATGGCAATGGGGACTTGCCACGTCCCCCATTTGTCCCCAGGCCAGGTCTACTTCATCCGGGGCCACCTGAATTTCAAGGAGGCCGGCCAAGCCTGCCGCAACCAAGGGGCCGCCATCGCCAAAGTGGGGCAGCTCTACTCCGCCTGGAAGTTCTCCCAGCTGGATCGCTGCGACGGGGGGTGGCTGGCGGACGGCAGCGTGCGGTACCCCATCACCACCCCCCGCCAGCACTGCGGGGGGCTGCCCGACCCCGGCGTCCGCAGCTTCGGCTTTCCCAGCAAGGAACTCCGGACCTACGGCACCTACTGCTTCCAGGGGAAGTAGGAAGGTCTGGAAGGAGAGGTGGGCTGGATGGTGGTGGGACACCAGCCCCCATCACCCGGGTGGAGAACTTGAGGCAGGGCATGAGGCCGTGGAGGTTGGTGGGGGGTCTCCTGGTGATTTCGGGTGGTCCGAGCATCCTCTGATGGAGTGATAGAGCTGGGTTTGGGTCCTCAGTGCATCCTCTGGTGGGGCTGCTCCCCACACCCCAGCCTGCTGTGGGGCTTGGGGGGTTGTCCAGGCCTCGCTGGAGAAGCTGGACCCATCGCTGGGTCAGGAAGGGGGGTTAATCCAGCCCCCTCCCCAGCACAGGATCCCCAGCCCCGCTGCATCCCACCCCCCATCCTCGCTCCACAAGGACTCTGGCTGGTGCAGGACCAGGCATTAACGAGCGTGACTAATGAAGTTTCGCCTTCTCAATTAATAAAGCTGCGCGGCAAAGCCGAGCTCTCACCCGGGCTCTGCCCCCCGGGACCGTCTGGCATCTCCACGGGGGGAATTTGACAAGGATTTTTCCATGTGGGGCCCCCCCGGCCGCCCCGTCCCGGGGGTTATCAGTGTCCCTGGCGCCGCACACGAGGGGGTTTCTGAGTTTTGATGTTGGGCACAGCCAGGGAGAGCTATAAAAAGCTATAAAAGGCGCCGGAGCTGGCACGGCACGGGGGGAAACACGGCGTGGGGAGATGCCAGCATCCCCTGGCACCGGCCACGTGCCCCCCAGGTCCCATGTGTTTGCTGGGAGCCAAGCCCTGACCGGTCCCCCCAGGATGTGGGGGCACTTTGGGCTGTTCCTCCCCATTTCTGTGGTCCCCCTGGATGTCACCGTGCCCAGGCTGTGCTGGGGGCTCTCCAGCCCCACGGCGCGGGTGGGTGCTGCCACGCTCCCCATTTTTGGGGCTGTGCAGCCCTGATTTTTCCACCCCTGTGCCAGGGCTGCCCCAGTGACCCAGCCATCGCTCCCCACCATCCCTTTACTGGTTTTAGCACCCACAGTCGGACAGAGGGGACATTTGGGTGACACGTACCCACCCTGAGCCTGCACCAGTGGTTCCTGCCTTTCCTGGGGAGTGCAAGAGCCCCCTGGCACCCCCCACCACCACCACAACCGGGGTGTCACCCCCACCAGGGTGTCACAGGGTGAGGACCCTTGGGCCAGAGGTGGGAGAAAGCTGGAGGTGGCACTGGGGTGTCGTTGCCATCACCTGCCCACGGTCCTGTCCCCCCCCCGGCCTCGATTTCAACTCTATTTGTGACTCTGGGAACAAAACACCCCTCGTGCTACATTTCGGGTCATCGTCGGCTCCTTTTGAAGGGATCTTTAGTTACGAGGATTTCTTTGTACAGATATAAAACGAAGGAGGAGGCAGGTGCCCAACGGTGAGGTTTTGTGCCACCCCGGGGTCCACGTTGGTGTCCCCACTGCCGTCCCCATCTGCGCCGCCTCCGGGACCCGGGGGGGTGGTGGCTTCTGCCCTGGGGACCCCCTCAGTCGTCGGGGGGCTGAGCCAGGCCTGGGGGGGGGGACACACAAGGA